AAGGGCCAAGTGGCTCCCTATGATATTCCAAAATTGTATATGTATACCCATGAGCCGTAAAGTACATCTTTGGCATATTTGAGTTTGTGGAACAGTTTTCTCCTTCTAAACTGGATGACTCTTAACTTATTGCACCTTAGGTGAGCAAATATGAATTTTAAAACCTTATTCTTGGTTGGTTTTTTTTCCCCTCTACAGTCCAGTCGTAGGCACCCTGTGTACCTAGCTAAGAGAATTGCCACTGGAGACATAATTACTGTGTCCAAGTCTTTCTCTGTCTTTTATGAGCAGGGTGACTTCAAGAAAGTCGATTAATCTCTCTGTGACTTAGTTTTCCCATCTGTAAAATGGAGATAATAGCAGCAGGTATCTTTAGTCTTGTGAGAATTAAACAGGTTATTAAAACAACGCCTGGGGCATAGTGAGCACTACAGTTCCTTGCTGCTCACATCTTTCCTCTCAGGCTGAAGTCATATCTGTCATCTGCACAATAACATTTTGTCTATGGGTGCATCCTGGACTCTTGGGTGTAGTGTGATTCTCTATAGCTCAAATTGAATATCTAAGCATCTATAGAAAATGAACTGTTTTAAGGAAGATACTATTTATGAAACATTACATACAAGTTTATGGCGTACTGATGAAGCAGAATTACATACCAAAGGACCTCATTTCTTATACACAACTCATTTTATTTTATGTTTTAACTGGAAATAGCTATAGCAGGATAATAATGAGCAGTTCAATTTCCTCAAGGTCACTTTCCAAAGATGTGAAGGAATTTTGAACTCTTCTTCAAAATTTGCAAAAAAAGATTTCCCTATATCACAACTGTATAAGAAATGAGCTGTAATTAATTTAGGTGCCTTGAGGGTGAATTAGCCACCCACTGGGTGATTTGGTAAGAAAGCTATTTCAGATGAAAATAAGAATATCTTTAAATATAAAGCAGGTAAAGTAGAAGATTTAAAACCTTAAAGGGAAGAAGTCCCAAGACTACAGTAAGTCATTAATAACAGCCATTCAATTCATTCAGAAGAGAATGGATTACTGACTTAAGGACCCAATTATGTAAACCTTAATAATCATATAAGCAGCTCCAGTGATTAGCTCCAGCACTGACTTTTTTTTCATCTACATCTTATCTTTAGCCCCCTTTACATTCTTAAAAAAAAAAACATCAAAAAAAAACACTTATAAACTTATTTCCCACATGAGAGCCCATCAAGAATCACACAGTTCTCAACTGTATAGTTGGAACTCCCGTGATCTGATGTGTGAGGATGACCCAGTCTCACATTGCTAACTTTTCTGTTATTATAGCTACTATGCTGGGACAGGAGCTGCTAATTCATATATTTATGAGAAAGTCCTAAGTGGCTCAAAGAAATCTTTTCAAATTAAAAAAAGTGTTTTGCAAAAGCCCACAGTAGAAAAATAGATGTTTTATAATTTTAGAGTTGAACTAACAATGTTGTACCTGAGGTTTTATGTGTGTTCTCAAATACTGGTTAGTGGCCACCATAGGAAAATACAATCAGCAAATTCATGCACCATGCCCAGAGGCCTCACTGTAATTCTCACGAGACTCTAAATCCTAAACATAGGGCTTTCCAAGTGATGAGGCCTGTCTAGAAATGCATTAACTTCTCTTTCTTAAATAGAGCCAAGAAGAATTTACCCAAGTCCCATCTATAGTAAAATGAGGTTTATGAGGTTTTAATAAACTTTTAGTTCTAAAAGCAAATGCTAATTTGTTTACTTAATGCTTTACTCTTATATTCCACTTTGTTCCCTGGAATGAAACATACGACTTGTGAAATTCAAACATTCTCCTATTTACAAGGACAATTTCATTTATTAATGGCCTATAATTAAGAACAAATTGTTAGCTAAACAAACAATTAGCTTGTCTGAAGAATAAATAGGAAGTAGGTTATTCATTCATTTGCTAAGTGTTCTTAGCCTTGACCTACTTTTCACTTATTCAGATTGCATTCTCAATTTTCTAGAGCTTTTGTAACTAACGTAATTTTCCTAATTAAATAATGAAAGCTAACATTTATGTATTTTCTTTGGGAGAAAGAACAGGCTAATGTACACATAAAATGTTATAACGTAAGTCAAAACTTTACTTCCAATTCTACCACGTGACCCTAAGGAAGGTATTTAGCCTCTTCACCTGGAAGTTTTCCATTTCTGTAAAATAAGGATGTTAATAGTTGCCATCTACCTAAAGCATCATAACTCAAGGGACCTGCTACAATTTCTTTAAAGAAAAGATGCTCAGTGGTTGAGCATGGACCTATGAACCAGGAGGTCATGGTTCATTCCCGATTAGGGCACAAGCCCAGGTTGTAGGCTCGATCCCCAGTGGGGGGCATGTAGGAGGCAGCCAATCAATGATTCTCTCTCATCATTGATGTTTCTATCTCTCTCCCTCTCCCTTCCTCTCTGAAGTCAATAAAAATATATTTTCAAAAAAAGAAAAGGTGCTGTATATTTATGCAATTCTTCTCCAAAATATGGAACATTGGGAAATATTTTGGATTTCTATAAAAACCTTACAATGATTTTTTTTGAAAGATGATTAGATTCTCCCCCCCCCCCCCCGCAAGAGCTCAGATTTATTTTGAAACTTAAAAAAGTATAAGATAGAGAAGTCTACATATTTCTACATTTTATATCTGGGATTTTTTAAAAAATTATCTTTATTGTTGAAAGAATTACAGATGTCCCCTCCTTTTTTTTGTACCCCCATTGACCTCCTCTACCTTTCTCTCACCCCACCCCCAGGCCTTCACCACACTATTGTCTGTGTCCATGGGTTATGCATACCTACTTGTATAAAAACCCTGGGTATAACATCATGTCCCAAAGCTCGACCAACTGGAAGGAAGTCAGTCCTGCAGGGGTTGTCTTGGAAACAACTGTGCCCTACCCCAGCAGTTTACCAGAGGGCAAGGTTTCAGGCAGGAACCCGCCCTCAGAGCGGAGCGTGGAAGTACTGAGTCCTGGGTTGTCTTGTCAAGGGCTGCACCCTCCTCGAGCTGTTTCCCAGGAGGCTAATAGTGGATGGTTAGTAAAACTTGGAGATGGCAAACTTGATAGCAGTTTTGGATCTATTATTGAAGCTACCTTTGGAAATACTATATCTAGATAATATTAAAAATATATCTAAACATGAATTCTTTGTCCAAAAAATGAGCATATTCAAAAATTAAATGATGAAATTTTGGATATACTCGATGGAGATTTTCACACATATTTGAGTGATGATTCCATTGATTCCACAGATGATGCTGAAAAAGAAAATTTTCCCATTGAATTTCTTAATAGTATTACTCCTTTGGGAATGCTGTGTCATAAATTAAAATTGAAAGTAGGTGCAATCATCATGCTATTGAGAAATCTCAATAGTAAATGGGGTCTTTGTAATGGTACCAGATTTATTATCAAAAGATTACGACCTAACATTATCAAAACTGAAGTATTAACAGGATCTGCAGAGGGAGAGGTTGTTCTAATTTCAAGAATTAATTTGTCCCCATCTGACACTGGCCTCCCATTTAAATTGATTCGATGACGGTTTCCCATGATGCTAGCATTTGTGATGACTATTAATAAATCTCAAGGTCAAACTCCAGACAGAGTAGGCACATTCCTACCTGAACCCATTTTCGCACATGGTCAGTTATATGTTGCTTTCTCTAGAGTTTGAAGAGCATGTGTCATTACAGTTAAAGTTCTAAATACTTCAGCACCAGGGAAATTAGTCAAGCACTCTGAAAGTGTTTTCACTCTCAATGTGGTATACAGGGAAATATTAGAATAAGTTTAATCACTTTATTAGTCATTGTTTGCATCACTGTTGTTTTTATATCATGTTTTTGTTTTCATATCATGTTTTTGTTGTTTTTATATCATGCCTCTGTTGTTATATCCTTTTGTTACTATTTATTTATTAACAAATTTATATATTATTTTCATATACATTTTACTAATTTCCTTTCATCTCTCACACTTCTATTATAGAGAAAGGGCAAACAGCAATATTAAAATATCTCTGCTAATTAATTCCCTTATAATTTGCACGAATTTCGTGCACCAGGCTACTAGTATGCAGATAAGTTCCTTGGTTAATGTCCCCACCCCTTTCCGCTTATAGAATCTGCCTAAATGAAACCTTTAGCACATAAAGGCAACTTCATCTGAATTAAGTAGCATGTGGTTACTTACAAGTGATTGGCTTTTTATTTTTTATTTTTTGCTAGTTACATTTTGCTTTTATGAACAAAAAATATATATATATTCAGGCTGCAACATCATGGTATTGAGCACACTTGAGTGGACTGTCAGTGCAAACCATGCCTTAGGCTGAGAAGACACAGATGTAGTAGAACCAAGTTAAGTGTTCCTCAGGTGGAATATGAGCAGAAGAAAGTCATTCATATAAAACAATAGAAATGTGAGCAATATCACATGTAAAACAGTAAGTGAATAGGTAATCATCCCAGAAACCAGGAGTGGAAGTGAGACAGACAGCCAAGACAGAAGGATAGACAGGAGTCAACACTGAAATGTAAATCAAATGGGAATTGACAATGTATAATGCTATAAAAATACTAATTCCATGGTCTAAAGTATTGTTAGAGGGGAAAATGATCAGCAGCTAAAACTGAACCTTGCTCTAACACATATGAACTCATAAGAATTTACTGAATCCAGTTTTCATGCTATGTATTTTTATATCATGAGCCTTCATCTGAAAAATGGAAATATCCATACCTGCCTATTTGGCCATATTGGTTGCATAAAATTTCTCTCTGAACAACTACCACAATCACCTCAAGCATTATTTAAATTACATATATATGTATGTGTGTATACATGTACATCTACATCCCCCAACATCCATCTGTCCATCCATCCACCCACCCGTCATCCATCCTTCCATCCATCTCAATGAGCAAAAAAGGGAAATGCTTCTATCTGCATACCTTCAGGTTCCCTGATTTTTCTTCCCGCTGCAGACTTCCGAAGGACGCTCCTCCCGGAGTTAAAGAGGCTGGTTAGCTCGTCCAGGGGGCTGCCGAGGGGCCTGGAGTTCGGGGGGCTGTAGGGGACTGGAGACGAGGCGTTGGAGTTGGCCTTCCGATGGTCCACTCTAGCTGCTGCCTTCCCAGGGGAATGCGGAGCCTTGGAGAAGGAGCTGCAGGGACCCGCTGCGGGAGCAGAGTTTGGCTTTTGCTGCACTTTGGGCAGATCCGGGTTTGCGGCTGCTTTCCCCGTGGGCACCACGCCGGCCTCGGGTGGGAAGGTGAAGTGGCGGTGGGCAGCGGCAGGCGGCGCAGGGGGAGGAGGCGGCGGCGTGGGAGGCGGAGAGACTTTGTGGGACCCGTTGAACACAGGTAGGCCGGGGGACGGGGGCCTGTCACCACCCCCGTTTTGGCTCTTGGAATACTGTGGCGACAGAGGACTGGAGCCTTCCGACTGCACAGGGTACTTGAGGTTGGTTTCCAGGACTGGCAGCTTTTTCACCTCCAGGGGCGTCAAAGGCGATTCATCCGACGCTGGGGAGCAGGTGACAGGGGTCGGGGGGAACACCAGGAGCGGGGGCCGGTGAGGCAGCAGGTTGGGGAAGGGGGCGGGGATGTCGCAGGTGTCTTTGCCCGGCCCTGGTGTCTGGCAGCCAGTGTCTCTCTCCTCCAAGGTGAAGGGGCTGGGGCGCTCACACAGCCACGGGAGTGACACGGCCGCCCAGGCGCCCGCCACCTGAGCGCCCCCGTCCTCTGGGGGCGCGAAGTACTTCATCTCCTCGTACACCGCTTCCCCCTGGTCGGGGCTGCCCGCGTGGCCCACCATCTCGATGTAGACGGGCTCCGGCTCAGGCTCTGTCTCGGCCTCAGAGTGCGCCAGGGGCGCTGGGTGCGCGGGGACCCCCAGCATGGCCCTCAGGGCGCACTGTGGACCCCCTGCTCTGTGCCGCGCGCCCGGGACGCCCACCGCCCCGGGCCCGGCGCCGGAGATCTCCTCCGAGGAGCCGCTGAGCTTGGTGTGGGGACTTCGCTTTGGCTTTCGAGGAGGAATCTTCTTCATGGTGCTGTAGTCGTCACTGTGCGGTCTGGGCCGGGTGAGCACTGGAGGCAGATGAGCAAAGGATGGGAGGTGTTAGCAAGACTGCAGGGCCAAGCCGGCACAGCACTGGGGCTGGCGGGGCTGCCCTTGCCCACTGGGCTCCTGTGAGTCCCCAAGGATGGAGACAAAGGCCTGCATCCTCCACTCTGCCCACCCCACCACCACCACCTACCCGTGATCCTAGATCAGCCAACACTTCTCAAGACTGCCAATAGAAAGGGAGTTTTGGTCTCAGAGCTGGAGGATAACTTCCATCATGAAGGAAGACGTTAGGTGGACCATAAGGGGTCCAGGGATTATCAGCCACCTGCAAGCCAGAAGTGCCCAGGGATACAGCCACTCAGCAGGGGAACACACTTCAAGCAGCTGCTGGAACCTACCCACACCTGTATTTTTAGGGTCTGATAAAGATGTGACATGAGAACAGACTGAACTGGTCCCTGGGGCTTTAGAGATGAGAATATGGAAAGCTAGGGAGAACAAGCAAATTAGCTAGTCTAGTCGGTGGCAAATGGAAGCTTCTTGTAGGAAATTAGTAAGCTTGATTATTTAAATGGTATGAAATAAACAAAACAAAACGCCTACATGCATAAAGAGATTATTATTTTGTTAAAGAACTTCGTTATTTAAATGATGCCAAGGGTGAATTTTACAAAGAATCAGCATATTTGAATCCTTAACAGAAACACATATTTAACAGGAAAATTAAGACTAAGAACTTCTAGCCCTGGCCAGGTCGCTCAGTTGGTTAGAGCAGTCATCACCGATACACCAAGGTTTCAGGCTGATCCTTGGTCAGGGCACATACAAGAATCAACCAATGAAAGGAAAAACAAATTGATGTTTCTTTCTCTTTCTCTCTCTCTCTCTCTCTCTCTCTCTCTCTCTCTCTCTCTCTCTCCCTTCCTCTCTTTTTTTCTCAAATCAATTATATGTAATTAATTATATATAAAACTATGAACTTCTAAAGTGGAAATTTCTGAAGTTGAAAAAAGGGAAATATTTAGAAAAACAAATCAGCATAATATTAGTAACAACTAATTTTAAAAGAGGCAGAAAAACTATTTAGATATGATTTTAAAACATTTATTTAAGTTTAAAAAAATTCCAAGATTTATTTTCTAATATAGTTTATTATAAATTTAATACATATTTATTAAATAAACAAAATTTCTCTGGAAACAGATGTTAATTTTAGGAAATTACATTAAGCTTTACTGAAATATCAAAACTCAAAAATCTTAAACTACGTTACTAATTTGGCATTTTACTGTGAGAATTATTGATAGGAACATATCTAACTTTTCTTAGTTCCTGAGTTATTTAAGGCATGCAGATTTTTCTCTCACCATGACAGCACATATGACATCAGTAAATGTCCCTAGGTTGAAGGAGATAATAAAGTAAAATGGCTGAGATTAAAGGCTTTTCTATGGCTGAGTAATATTCCATTGTATAAACGGACCACAGCTGTTTTATCCTCTCACCTACTGATGGGCACTTGGGCTGCTTTAACATCTTGGCTACTGTAAATAACACTGCAATGAACATAAGGTGCATATATTCTTTCAAATTAGTGTTTCAGCTTTCTTTGGATATATTCCCAGAAGTGGAATTGCTGGGTGATAAGGCAGTTCCATTTTTAATTTCTTGAGTTAACTCCATACTACTTTCCACAGTGGCTGCACCAATCTGCATTCACACAACAATGCACAAGAGTTCTCTTTTCTCCAAATCCTCACCAATGCTTCTTGGTTGTTGATTTACTGACAGATATGGGGTGATATCTCATTGTGGTTTTAAATTTTCATTTCTTTGATGAACATCTTTTCATGTCTATTGGCTATCTGTATGTCCTTTTTGGAGTAGTGTCTATTCAGGTTTTTTGCCCATTTTTAAATTTGTTTTTTTTTGTGTGTGTGTGTTGACTTTTATAAGGCTTTAGTAAATTTTGAGTATTAACCCCTGGGGAAAGCAGTATGGAGTTATCTCAAAAAATTAAAAATGAAACTGCCTTATGATCCAGCGCTTCCACTTCTGGGAATTTATTCAAAGAAACCCGAAACACTAATTCAAAAGAACATATGTACCTCTAAGTTCATTGAAGTGTTATTTACAATAGCCAAGATTTGGAAGCAGCCCAAGTGTCCAACAGTAGATGAGTGGATAAAAAAACCTGTGATACATTTACAAAAAAAAATACTCCTTGGCCATAAAAATGAGGGGAATCTTCTTTTTGCAACAGCATGGATGGAGAGCTGAAAGGTATTATGCTAAGTGACAGAAGCCAGCCAGAGAAAGACAAGTACCATATGATTTCACCTATATATATGTGGAATCTAATGAACAAAATAAACTAACAAAAAAATAGAAACAGACTCAGAGAATCAGATAATAAATAGACTGATAGCTGTCAAAGGGAAGGGAAGTCTGAGGCCTGGGTGGAAAAGGTGAAGGGATTAAGCAAAAATCAACAATAACAACCAAGAACAACAACCTAATATACACAGAGAACAGTATGGTGATTACCAGTGGGAAAGGGAGTTGTGGGAAGGTAGAGGAGGGTAAAGGAGGATAAATAGTGATGAAGGAACACTTGACTTGGGGTGGTGAACACAAAATACAATATTCAGATGATGTGTTATAGAATTATACACCTGAAACCTATATCATTTTATTATCCAATGTCACCTTAATAAATTCAATTTTTAAAAAAGTTTTAAAAAGGCAAAATTCCATAATTAAAAAAAATATGTTTAAAGGTTTCCAAGTCAAATCTGGATTCAAATCTCAGCAGGACCATTCATTCATGCAGTCATTTGTTGAGTCATACATTTGACTAGTATTTCCTGAAACACATTAGTGAGTACAGAGAAAATTTTCCCTACCTTCCTCTGTCCTAGTGGAAGGTGTCAGACAATAAAAAAATAAGTTAAACAAATGAATTAATTCTTGATCATGTTAGAACATGACATATGCCATAAAAGTGAAAAACAATAGGCCATGAAAGAGTTCACAGAATTGTGTGTGTGTAGTGGGGGAAGGGGTGGCAATGGTGCAAATGATAATATTAAAAGAGGTTTTAGGAAAAGCTCTCTAAGCTCCAGTATAGTCAAGCATAAAATGATCAGTAATTATCTCAGAGGCATAAAATAGATATTGCATGTAAAGTGTTTGCTCACATTTTGGCACACTGGGAACATGAAACAAATGGGAGACATCCAAATGAGAATGGAAAAGAACAAAGCTAATTTTCTAACTCAATGGACATCTTTGTGAGCCAGTATTCTACACAGTTCCCAAAAGCAGCCAACTTTTAAGAGCAGAGCATGCCCAAAATGCACAATTCTGTAATTAATAAGCATTATTCTAAAGGCTTTCACCATACTAAAACATAAGCTTCTCCTAGAAAGTTAATGAACCACACAAAATTTTAGCATTGCTATTATAGAGTTGTTCTGAAGATTTAAATAATTTAAAGGATTGGTGGCAGGTTGTCTTTTCCAAAACTGGCTTCAACAATATTTCCAGTCCCACATGCTCTTCAGAACCCTGAATCTGGGAGGGCCTCTGTGACTGGCCCTGACAAATAAAATATGGGGAAGGGGCGGCTGCCTGCTTTCTGTGGCTGGATCCCAGGTAGTATGGCTCTGTTTGGCTCTTGCTGTCTGGAACACACATCTTGATGGCCCTGATCTCTATGTGAGGAGACTGCTTACTCTGAAGCACCCATGCTCTAGAGAACAGGTAGAGAGACCACCTAGAGGCGAGAGTGATGAGGAAGACTCCATTTGCTTCAGCTCTCAGCTATCTGTGTTTTCCAAGCCCAGACACCAAAAATCTAATAACTGAATCTTCGGATGATTCCAACCCCTGACTCTCACTACTGCTGTGAGAGAGCCTGTATAATCACTGGTTAGCTGAGCCCAGACAAGTACGAGGACTCTAAGAGAGGAAAAAGGATACAATGGTCATTTTAAGCCACTGAATTCTGGAGTGCTTTGTTATACAGCAGTAGACAACTAGTACAGATATTGGTACCTGGAAGTGGGAGTGCTACTATAAATAAAACTTCAAAAGGGTGGCCGCAGCTTTGGGAAACTGGAGGAGTCTTGAAGACAAAGTTAGCAAAGGCTGTTGATCCTCACGAAAGCTCTGGGTGAGGCTTAAAAGGAGGTGAGGAAGATGCCGGAAGCTGGAGGAAACATGAGCCTTCCTGTGCCATTGTGGAAATTTAGCAACACTGTCACCTGCGGTAATGCGGGAAGTGAAACACGCACTTAGGAAACTGAATGATGTAGCTAAGGAGGTTTTCAGGTAGAGTGTAAAATCTGCCTCCTGGATTCTTCTAGCTGCCTATAGTAAAATGTGAGAGTAAAGAGACAAGCCAAAGAAAGACCTATTAACTGTAAAGGATCCCGGAATTCCTATGTTTGAAAATAAAGGTTTCTCACTGCCAGGCTGTCCTGATGGCAAATAATTCTCAAGTGAAGAAATGACTTTCAAGCAGAGATGAAATCTGAGATATTTTCAAGAAAACATCATCTAAAGATGGAGCCAAGATCATGGCTATGAAACCCTTTATTGAGACGTCAGGAAGATTTAAGGTGATGCTTCGTGGATCTGTTCAAAGGAGCAAAACCACAGGACTTCTAAGAATCGTAAGTGGATTGCAGCACAGAAGTCTTGCAGAGAGCCCAAAGTAAAGAAGATAATTATCTCAGAGACTTGTGGATGTGGCTTTTGAATAATACAGTAGATTGTAAATTCACAGGAAACTCACAAAGCTTTTAAAGGAATTGGATCATCTTGCACTGAAAGGAGAAGACTTAATACAGAATGAGGAAGCTCTGGTACCTCAACATTTTATAAGCAGAAAGCAGGCTGAGAAAGCTACCAGCCCTAAACATGTCACATCTTGTGGGTTAGGAATTACAACTTACAGGTGAGCCAGGAGTCCAAAGCATGGACCTAAGACCCATGGCAAATCATTTCTAGGAAC